GACAGACCCACCCTCTGGTTCTGTGGTCCTGAGCCTGTCTGGTTCCCACTCCCGGGTTACAGTTCCACACCTGCTTTGTAACCTGGGTGGCGCAAAGGTGCTGTGCCTTCCCACCCTTTCCAGGTTTCTCTCCCCAAAATAAAATGTCCCTGCCTTGGGTCCCTGCCAGCCGCTGCTCTTTGCTGACTAGTCTGGCAAACACTTTCCTCCTCAGAGCATTCGGTACTGCTGACTGTCCTGTCTTCTCCAGCAAAGTGGGGGCCACTTAACTAAGGTCTACCTCCTCCAGCCAGGCGGATGAAAGCGTTTGAGAGCCAGGAAGGAGCTAAGGAAGCTTCTAGCTGAACCTTTCATTTTACAGTTGAGGAAACCCTTCCAGAGGGTGGAATAACTTGTCTGAGGTCATGCTGAGCTTGTGGCCCGGCTGTGACAGCAGCCAGGTTTTGGGTTTCTTTTCTTTTCTTTTCTTTTCTTTTTAAAGAAAGAGTCTCACTCTGTTGCCTGGGCCAGAGTGCCGTGGCATCAGCCTACCTCACAGCAACCTCAAACTCCTGGGTTCAAGCAATCCTTCTGCCTCAACCTCCCAAGTAGCTGGGACTACAGGCATGCACCACCATGCCTGGCTAATTTTTTCTAATATATTTTTAGTTGTCCAGCTAAATTCTTTCTATTTTTAGTAGAGATGGGATATCACTCTTGCTAAGGCTGGTCTCAAATTCCCAAGCTCAAACGATCCACCTGCCTGGGCCTCCCAGAGTGCTAGGATTACTGGCATGAGCCATTGCAACAGGCCTTGGGTTTCTTTTTAATAAAAAGAAAAAAAAAATTACTTACAAGCATTCAGAATGTCAACAAAACAGCTGTAACTTTTTGTTTTTTTTTTTTTTTTTTTGGAATTGCAGAGTGGTATTCAGTTGATAGAGCAGCAATTATTTCATCTAAGTCTCCTCAGAGACAACTGAAGATGAAAAAACTACCATCCCCGTGTATAACTACTCTGTCCCGGGCACCAAGAGCTTGCTTTAAGTTGCCATGCCAACTTACAGCCCCTATTCTGTACCAGGCAAGGTTAGTGGCCATTGAAAATGCCACCAGGCCAGGGCTAGCTAAAGACACAGCCAGGAGTGTGTCTTTGCTATACTAAAAAAGACACTGCACAGTTTAAAAAAATAAATAAATTTTACACAACCTTACATTTCAATTTTTTTTCTTTAAAAGGAGTGAGTTATGTATGGGGGGATTAAATGCTTTATAGGCAAGAAAAGAACCCTGCTGGAACCAACTTATTCATCCTCCTCCTCTTCTTCATCTTCTTCATCTTCCTAATGATCCACCTCTCTCTCTCTCTCTCTTTGCTCTTGCTTTCATCAGCCTCGACGACTCCCCTGTTGGTCGCACCAGGCTTTCCTGTGTTTGGTTTGCAGCAATAGCCTTTGCACATTTCTCCTTCAGCTCCACGGCCTGCTGTCCATGGGGCTGCTTGTCACCTGCAGCGACAGCCTTCCGCATCTCTCCCAGTTACCATCCCAGACAGGCCGATGTTCTCCTTTGATTTCCGGGCGAAGCTCAGAAGAGAACAAGAAGAGGGCCACAGGAAGCCTCTGGGGTGCACTGGGATCCTTGAACTTCTTTTCTGTTTCCCTTTCAGGGGAGATAAAGGTTTTCCATTCCCTTTCATAGCGCGCCTTTCCCTTTAGCCGACGCGGCCTTCCACCTCTCTGAGCTCTTCTCAGAAATCTCTGAGAAGCCGACGGAAGCGTCCGGGCGCTGCGTGTGCTCCTCCCGGCAAGTTTGCACAGAGAACACGTGGGATGACATTTGGCCTCTCGGCTTCTTAGGATCTCTTTGCCCGTGTTTAGTTGTCTTTCCTCGCCGAGGAATAGAGCCCAGCGGCCGTCCGGCTCCCACTCGCCCCAGTACCGGCTCTGCAGAGCCCAGTATACTTTGGTTGCTGTGACAGCGGGGGGTGCACTTCAAAGGTCAAGTCCTCTGGGGTCCTTTCCACTGCAGAGCGCGCCCCCTCCTGCCCCAGAGTGACCAGAGGAGCAGAAGGGCTTGGAGGAGCCGTCCACGCGCCCCTCGGCTCCCAGGCCAGTGTGTCCCTGCGTGTTTGCAGTCCCGGCTCCCAGGCCAGCGTGTCCCTGCGTGTTTGCGGTCCCGGCCCCCTTTCTTATTAGTGTGGCTTCACGGCACATTATCTGCTCATCTGAAGGCTGCTTTATAGCATAATATCTTTTTAACTAAGGTAAAATAAAATGAACGCCATCCTTTGGAATAATCTGATCCCACATGATTGTGGCTGATACCCCAGCGCTTTGAAGTCAAGCTGGATAATTAGTTTTCTATGCCGAGTCAATTAAATGTAAAAAACAACCACCATAAAACCTCCACAGTTTGTTTCAGCTTGTCAGTGCCCTTTTCCGCCTCCTCCTCCCTCGCCTCCCCTGCCCCCAGCTTCCTCTTGCCTGGGGACAAAGGGAAGAGAGAGACAAACGAGTGTGTCAGCAATGTGGGCAAGAAACAGCTTTTCTCCTTGGTCCAGTCTGGGGAAGTGTCTCTGTGTGGATGGACAGAAACACCCTGTCTGAGCTTGGGGCAAACGCTCCCCCTGGGCGTGTGGTCCCTGAACGCGTGCCTGGGACAGAGCCCTGGGCTGAGGGTCTCTATCCACCTCCAGATGTCTCTCCATGTGGAATCGTTTGGGCATAATGTCATGTTGGCCAACTTTTACAAACTTGGTAAATGGTTTCCAAATTTTAAAATGTGTGCTTTGGGAAGGCAGGCTGGATATGGGGGAAAGAAACTTGAGGACCAAGTTGTTTACTTTGGTTCATTGATGTGGATTTTTTTTTTAAAAAAAAAAACAACTAGAGAAAGCGCTGAATGCTGTGTTTACCTCTTACTCATTTTATCAATTTTATTTTGTCTAATCATTGCTTCAGTTTCTTCATTCTAGCCCATTTAACTCTTGTTTTCTCCTCCCAGGTTTCAGGCAGGGTGTGGCTACAAATTTGGTTGATTTCTGTTGCTTTACACCTATACTTAAACACTGACTTCAAGTAGGGGCTACTGTCCCGGAGGGCTGAGGTTCTGAAAGGCCTAGGAGATCCTAAAGAGTCCTCCAAAGGAAGGTGTTAACAATCTTCTAACCAAACCTCACTCTAACCCAAAGGGTGATTCACTTGATAGCAATAATCAACACGCTCTTGGAGAAATACAGACTCATCCATGTTTTCTATTTTTTAATAAAAATCGCCTTTATCTTCTGCACTTCTTTTAAGGATGGCCTCACTTTATAAGGGCCCGGGTTTGTTAACCTATGCTGGATCATGTGACTGCTTTATGGGCTAGAACCTGCATTGGGAATGGAGGACTGGGGTTGAGGTGTCGAAGAACCTTGACTTTGCCAATGGATTTATCCTTCCTGTACACAAATCGTAATTCCCTTGTGTGTAAAATGAGGGCCAGCACGTCTGTCTCCCTACTTTCTTTGCAGTGGTTTAGAATCAAGTGTGCATGTGTGTGCGTGTGTGTACTCATTCCTAACTGATTGGCCTGTTCGTAGGCTGTTGGGTGACACTTCACTTTTCCTCATTTCTTATTTCATCTTTTGCATCAACTGATCTGGCCGCATTAGAAAACGCAGGTAAAGAAGATGAAATGTGAATCGTTGGAGGCCAGTCTGAGACACAGTGCCCAGGTTACAAAACATGTCAACATTAGTGCAGTATCAGTTAGAATCACCTGGGCAACTTGTTACAAATGCAGATTCCTGGGTCTAACCAGCAGAGATTCTGATCCAGAGGGGCTGGGATGAGACTCAGGAATTCGCAGTTTAATTGGCCCAGCAAGTGATTCTAATGCAGGGGGCTCCATAGATGGTATTTTGAGAACCACCATCAGAGAATTGCTGGGAAGGGACCCTAGCACTCTTAAGTCTACGCCATTGGTTTATGGATGAGGTTAAACCTAGAGAAGTGCAGTGACTAGCCTAGGTCAGGTCGGTCAGTTAGTTAGTTAGGGCAGAGCATGGACTAGAATCGAGCACCAGCGTGGGCTTTTCCCACTCCCCCGTGTGTAGGAGAGCAGACCAGTAGGAAGTGGGCTTGCATTCAACAGGACAGGTTTAAATTAGATACAAGGAAGAAGCTCCTGACAGAGAAGAATACTGAGGAAGCCTATAGTGTCTCCTCTCCTAGAAGGCCTTTATTCAGACCAGACTCTCATCAAATATGGGCCCTTGAGGTACAGTTTGGAGGCAAAGAGAAAGGAGTGGAACCTTTTCAGAGCAAATTCTGGCTATTTTGCTTTAAAGGGACCAGAGACCTTTCTTACAGTTCTGCTGGTGGTGGCTGAGTTTTAACCTGGACGGTAGCACGAGTAGGGCCCAGTGATCAGGAGGCCTGAATCCCAGCCCCAGCCCTGGCAAGGACGAGCTTGGTGACACTGGGCCACTTGCTCAATGTCTTGGCCTCCACTTTCTCACAGTGAAACGAACGGACTTGCATTAGATTGTTTCTCGTTTCTGTGGTTCCAGCATTTTTACCTTTCATGGAACTCCTCCTACCAAAGTGCCTTACACGCCCGGGGCACTCAGCAGAGTTTTGTTGACTAAGCAAATTAATAAGTCGAATAACCGCTACTCAATAATGAGAACCCAGAAACCCTATCTACCAGTTTTCCCACCCCCTGAGCCCCTCCCTTAGGATGTTTTGAGTCTGTCTCTGCACAGTCTGATAGTGATCTCTCTGTTTTAAAAATTACTTATGTATTTAAAGGTATCTAGCCACAAATGGACATGAGTTGTAGCTTCAATATCCATGTCCTTTTGTGAGTGATCATTCAGATCTGAGATGTGCTGTGTATACTTAGAGTCACTCCCTGAGCTTAGAAGCCAGGCCAGAGTCACATCTCCTCAGGAGTGACAGCCTCTGGTCCCAGGCCCCTGTGCCCCATATGCTAGGGCCACCCCGCTGACGGGCTCTCTCTGTTCTTTGCAGAAAGCAGATCTGGCTGTGGCAGGCCTCACTATTACAGCTGAACGTGAGAAGGTGATTGATTTCTCTAAGCCATTCATGACTCTGGGAATTAGCATTCTTTACCGCGTTCATATGGTAAGAGACTTATTTTATAAGCATTTATGTCATTAAAGTTATTTGCATGCAAACACTGAGTTATATGGTAATAATGAATGACTCACGGAAATATTTAGATTTCAAGACTTAAATGCAAATGTGCTGGGCTATTTTTTCTCCCATCAGCTGCACGAACTTGAAAACGGGAGGGATAGAAAAGTCATGCTGTGGGCTTTCCAGTAAAAATTGCTTCTGCCTCACTGCGTAGTGATGGCCAAGAGTGCTCACTCAACACTTGGTGCGTAGTGTCTGTGGTGGGCCCCATTGGTCACTTTGCTTCTTTCTGAGGGCAGGGCAGCCCAGATGAGTCACCCCAGCACTCTCAAGAACGTTTCCACTCCCAAGTCCTCCCATATTCACTGTGAGCATTGCATCTGGGGAGGGAATGCAGACTTCTTCCTCTCTCGATTATCTGTACCGGTGAATGAAGAGTGGATAATCTAGTGACATTTATACCTGGTCTGCCCCTCCTTCTGCATCCTCTCGCCCCCTCAAAAAGACTTCTCTGGCTAGGTAGGCCAGAGTGGGTGTCAAATGAGTTTGTGAGAACACCCCAATAGGCATCAGGGTGTGGACGCGACCCCAAGTATACTGGCTAGTGGGAGGAGCAGAGAAAGAACAACCCTAGCTGGGTTTCATCGGTCAAGTGGATAATCATTACGTTGCCAGCAAATAGCCAACTTTACCTAGTTTACCTTTCTGGATCAGAAGAGCCTTCCTCTCCTCCCTTCATCCCAACTGGCTCTAAGTGCATAGCACCATATGGATGTCCCCAGGACGCTAGTCACTGTCAGCGCCCACAGTACAGCGGCCACGGTGGACTCCAGCACATAACCTGTACCACAAGGCTGCTCACCCAGGAAGGGACCAAGAGGTCACCCCACATACCTGCTGAAGAAGTGACCCCTTCTCAGGCTCCAAATCCCAGCCCTAGAGAAAGGGGTATTGTCCACCTCTGCAGCCCCAGCCTGGGCTTCCCACCCTGCGATGTGGGTTGAATTGTGTTATTGGTTGAAATAACTTGTTCCCTCCCCCACCCAAAATATATGTTGAAATTCTAACCCAGGACCCGTGATTGTGACCTCATTTGGAAATAGGGTCTTCGCAGATGTAATCAAGTTAAAATGAGGTCATACTCGATTAGGGTGGGCCCTCATCCGGTGACTACTGTCCTTATAAAAAGAGGGACAGTTTTGAGCACAGACACATAGGGGAGGAGGCCATGTGAATTTGAAGGCAGAGATTGGAGTGATGAATCTACAAGCCAAGGAACCCCGAGGTTTATCAGCAACCACCGGAAGCTAGAAGAGACAAGGAAGGGGTTCGACCCCCAGAGCCTGCAGAGAGAGCCTGGCCCTGCCAATACCTTGACTTTGGTCTTCCAGCCTCCATAACTATGAGATGATATATTTCTCTTGTTTTGAGCCACCAGTTGTGGTCTTAATAGTTTGTTATAGCAGTCCTGGGAAACTAATACAGTTGTGTTGTTCTTATTTTAGAAATGAGGAAAATGAATTGCAATCAATTTAAAAACTGAAGCAAGGCCACCAGCTAATAAGTGAAAGAGCAGGATTCAACCCAGGAATGGTGTCATTCCAGCCCATGCTCTCTCCGTGACACCAGCCTGCCCCCCTCCTGTGTGCGATCTTTGCATAACTTGTCCTGTCAGGTACTTTTGTACAGGCTTTCTCATTTGGTCCTCAGGACTGTTCTTCGAAGAAAGAGAGTATTTTTGATCCCCAACTTACAGATAAGGAAACCAAAGTCATGCTTGGAGCTACAGGGCTAACCCTGGAATCCGGGCCTCTGAACCCCTGGACAGTGTTCCCGTCATCATTAGAGCTGTTGGTGTTCCCTAGGTGGTCTTCCATGTTAGATCTGTTGGTGCTCCCTAGGTGGTCTTCCACGTTATATCCATTGGTGCTCCCTAGGTGATATTCCACATTAGAGCTGTTGGTGCTCCCTAGGTGGTCTTCCATGTTAGATCTGTTGATGCTCCCTAGGTGATCTTCCACATTAGATCTGTTGGTGCCCCCTACGTGGTCTTCCATATTAGAGCTGTTGGTGCTCCCTAGGTGGTCTTCCACATTAGAGCTGTTGGTGCTCCCTAGATGGTCTTCTATGTTAGATCTGTTGGTGCTCCCTAGGTGGTCTTCCACATTAGAGCTGTTGGTGCTCCCTAGGTGGTCTTGCACATTAGATCTGTTGGTGCTCCCTAGGTGGTCTTCCATATTAGAGCTGTTGGTGCTCCCTAGGTAGTCTTCCACATTAGATCTGTTGGTGCTCCCTAGGCAGTCTTGTAGGCAGCACCATTTTTTGAACTCCTAGCTCCCCAACACTGAGCCCTGAGGGGGCATCAGAAAAAAATAGAGACACCCAGGCTTTCTCCAAACTACCCTGCTACAGCCTGTGACAACCACACTACTAGGCTGTGGCCTTGATCTCTTGATTCACGCTGAGGGAACTAGAGCCCTACTGGTGACCTGATGGCCCACTGGGAACCATGTGGCCAAAGGCACCTGATCCCAAGTGTTTCCACCACCTGGAAACACCTGCTGCCTGGCTACCCACACCACATTGGGCACCACGGTCTTGAGTATCAACTCTGGCCAGAACTAAACCCCAGTTCACCAACCCTTTGGACACCCTAAATTGGATTGTTGACCAAATGTTTCCTACCACACAAAAACCTATGATTATGTGAGTTTACCTGCATGAGTTTCTGGGGTGTTAAGTTGTATGTGTCAACTTGGCTAGATGTCTGGTCAACTCCTAGGCAGGTGTTAGCATGAAGGTTTTTTGTAGATATGAATAATGTCTGCAATGAATTGACTTTAAGCAGAGAAGATGACCCTCCATCATGTGGGTGGACCTCATCTAATCAACTGAAGGACATAAGGGCAAAAACTGAGGCTTCCTGAGAAGGAATTCTGCCTTAGGTCAATAGGATAGCAATCCCACCTGCGTTTGCAGCTTGCTGGTCTTTCAGACTTACTAGCTCCCACACTCATGTGAGCCAGTTTCTTGCTGGTTCTGTTTTCTCTGGAGAGCCCTGGCTGGTGCGGTTTCCCAGTCTGGTGAGGGGTCCCGCCTCTGCAGCTGAAGCACCAGCACAGCACAGAGCTGCTCATGCTCAGATCTGAATTACAACAGGGGGCCACGCTGAGTGAAAAATGAGTGCTGGAATGAACAGCTTACACTAAGCAGAACTGACAGTTCATGCATTTATTCAACAAATATTTATTGAGTACATTCTGTGTGGGAGGCACTATGCTTAGAAAGTACCAAAAAGTCAGCTAGGGAGAGAACAATCCCAAATTGACTAGCCCAGGGGAGACCTGGTGAGAAAAAGTGTGAGATGAACTTTTCTCTACCTGAAACAAAAGAGGCCTTAGCAGGAACCACTTATGCAAAAAGACAGACTGGTAGAGTCCACCAGGAGAGCCTAAATCTAAAATTGCATAGAGAAGCTCTCTCTAACATAATAGTGTTAAGGTAACAAAATTAAAGTTCAATACTGAGTGTTTGTTATTTTGCAATTTTTCTCTAATTGATAGTTATCTATTAGCAAAATTATGGTTAATTTAATCTCATTTATAATCTGTAAGGATCTAGAATCTCTTTCCTACTTCTGTGTCTATGAGGTCACCTGACTGATGAGTAATTGTTACCAAAAAGGTGAGCATCTGGTGGCAATCAAACCTGTGTGCGAAAGTAAAAATAATTAACTCAAAGCATAAATGCCTAGTTAAGAACTATTGCAAACGCTTCCAAAATAATAAGTGGTGGAAAATGTGTCTCTGAAGTCTAAAGTTAACCAGAAATAATTTGTGAATTCCCAGCCATCTAAGATAATCTAGGCCTTTTCATGAACATGGATCATCAAGAGTTCATTGTGGGCTATTTTCCTTCTTCCCAGAATCGGCGGATAATCTCTGCTTCTGCTCAGGCATCCCTAGGACCAAAATAAGAATGTGTTGCTCTTTTTACCACCTACTCCCTGCTACTCACAGGCTGGCTAAGGATTCTGGCTTCGGCATTTGTTAGGCATTTGTTACAACAGTAATCCATTCTGCTTTTTAAAACTCTGTTCCTAGCATCCAAGTCACCATTTTTTCCTGGTAATACTTGTGTATTTCTAACTAGTGCCTTCTCATCATGCCCGTCGACGCCTTTCTCTCCCTCCCTCCCTCCTTCTCCTTCACTCTCTCTCTCTTCCCCCTTAAATGTCCACAGCCCTTTTCTATTCTCATTCTGCCAACTCTCTCTCTGCATCATCTCACTCTGAAACCTGTGACTCTAACCCTGGCTGCTCCTCTGAATTCTAGTAGTGTATTTCTAACACATCACTACACATCTCCACCTGATGTCTCACAGGCACCTCGAAACAGCATTACAAACTGCATTCAGTATGCTTCTCACTCAGACCTGCCCCTCCTCCTCCCTTCTGCTCCATCTCAGGCAATGGCATCTCTATCCCGTAACCTGTGCCCTCCTTAACTTTTCTTACTTTACACGTTTAGCTGGTCATCTCACCTCCTAAAGAGTTCTCAGATCTACTGTGCACCTCCACTTCTTCTGCCTCCATTCTGGCTCTCCTAATCTCCAATCTGAACTGCTGCCATTCCAGTGGCCTGTGTCCTCTTTGAGGACAAGGCATTCCTTATCCGTAACTGGGTCCCCATCAAAGGGCCGCGGTCATTGGACACATTCACTCAGAAGTAGGAGAGTGAGAATCTTGGACTCTGGAGCCAGACTGCCTGGGTTTATTCCCAGGTCTAACTGTTAGTAATTGCATGTCACATGTGCCTCAGTTTCTTTATAGGTAAAAATGGGTTGTCATGCAAATTAAGTGAGAATACATGTGTAGTGCACTTATGACAGTACAGACTGTTAGCTATTATTATGAATTGCTCCTCGCTGTAATCCATCCTCCATACTGCAGCCTGGGGTTGGGTTTTGTTTTGTTTTTTTCTTTC